AAACGTTACCGGTTTGATTCCTGGTCAAGGCACATACCTAGGTTGCGGGTTTGATCCCCAATCAGGGTGTGTGCTGGAGGCAACTAATCAATGTTCCTCTTTCTTTCTCTAAAATTAATAAAAATATATCCTTGAGTGAGGATTTAAAAAATAATAATAAATAAAATAAAATGGCTTTGGTTAAACACAAAGAGAGAATCTTAAAAACAACAAGAGAAAGATAGTTACCCATAAAGGAGCTCCCAAAATACTGAAAGCTGATTTCTCAACAGCATTTCAGGCCAGAGGGGATTGGCATGAAATATTCAAAGTAATGAAGAACAAGGACCTACACCCAAGGCTACTTTACCCAGCAAGGCTGTCATTTATAATTGAAGGAAAAATAAAGAGCTTCCCAGACAAGAAAAGCTAAAAGCATTCATCACCACCAAACCAGTATTACAAGGAATGTTAAAGGGTCAAAAAAAAGAAGGAGGAGAAAGAGGAACATGGGTATCCTATATAATAAAAGCTCAGTATGCTAAGTGTCTGGTTGACTGGTCAGCCGTTAAACCAATCAAAGCGTAATATGCTAATGATATGATAAGGCCACTCAACCACTCGCTATGACATGCACTGACCACCAGGGGGCAGACACTCCGACCAATAGATTAGCTTGCTGCTGGGGTCTGACCAATTGGGCCTGGGCAAGATAGGCCAGACTCACCCCAGAGCCCTCCCACAGTCCCTCCCCGGTTGGCCAACCTCTTTGGGGTCCCTCTGCCTGGCCTGCATCCTCTCACAATCCAGGACCCCTCGGGGGACAATTTCGGCCCAATCCTGCAGGCCAGGCTGAGGGACCCCACTGGTGCACGAATTCATGCACTGGGCCTCTAGTAAAGAAGAAAATGGCAAGAAATACATATGTATCAATAATCACTTTAAATGTAAATGACTTAAATGCTCCAATCAGAAGATATGGGGTAGCTTAACGGATAAGAAAACAAGACCCATATATATGCTGTGTACAAGAGACCCATCTCCAAGAGACCCCTTTAAAAGTAAAGGAATGGAAAAAGATATTTCATGCAAATGAAAGTGAAAAAAATCTGGGGTAGCAATACTTATAGCTGACAAAATAGACTTAAAAACAAAGGTTGTATTAAGAGACAAAGAAAAACACTACATACTGGTAAAGGGATCATTATCCAACAACAGGAATAACCCTTTTAAACACCCAACATAGGAGCACCTAATTATATAAAGCAAATCTTGATGAACATAAAGCAAGAGAAGGACAGTAATACAGTCATAGTACAGGATTTTAACATCCCATTAACATCAATGTTTTCCAGACTGAAAATCTAAAAGGAAACAGTGGCCTTAAATGACACACTAGACCAGATGGATTTAATTGGTACCTTCAGAGCATTTCACCCCAACGCAGCAGAATATACATTCTTTTCAAGTGCACATGGAACATTTTCTAGTATAGACCACATGTTAGGACACAAAACAGGTGTCAATAAATTTAAGAAGATTGAAATCATAGCAAGCATCTTCTCTGACTATAATGGTATGAAACTAGAAATCAATCACAAGAAAAAAGCTGAAAAACACACAAAGATATGGAGGCTAAATAGCATGTTAGTAAACAATGAATGGGTTAACAATGAGATCAAGGGAGAAATCAAAAGATACCTTGAAACAAATGACAATGAGAACACAACAACCCCAAACCTATGTGACATAGTGAAAGCAGTCCTAAGAGGGAAATTTACAGCATTATAGGCCTACCTCAAGAAATAAGAAAAGTTCAAATAAATTAACCCCACAACTAAAAGAATTATCATGTGAACAACAAGAAAAGCTCAGAGTAAGTGGGAGGAAGGAAATAATAAAGATCAGAGTGGAAATAAATGGTATAGAGACTAAAAAAATATACAAAGATCCATGAAACCAAGAGCTGGTTCTTTGAAAAGATAAACAAAATTTATAGGCTCATGAAGAAAAAAGAGAGAGGACCCAAATAAATAAAATCAGAAATGAAAGAGGATAAGTAACAACTGACACCACAGGAATACAAAGGATTGTAAGAAAATATTACAAACAGGTATATGACAACAAATTTAACAATCTAAATGAAATGGATAAATTTCTAGCAACATAGAGTCTTCCAAAACGGAATCAGGAAAAAATAAAAAAATCTAAATAGACCAATTACAACTAATGAAATGGAAACAGTAATCAAAAAGCTCCCAACAAACAAAAGTCCTGAACAGAATGGCTTCACAGTTGAATTTTACTAAACATTCAAAGAAGAATTAACACCTATCCTCAAACTACCCCAAATATTTCAAGAGGAGGAAAGACTCCCAAGCTCATTTTCTGAGTCCAGCATTTTCCTAATTTCAAAAAAAAAACGGAGAAGGAGAAAGAGGAACACGGGTATCCTATATAAGGAAACTATAAAGAAAGAAAATTATAAGCTAATATTTGTGATGAACATAGATGCTAAAATCCTGAACAAAATATTAGCAAACCAGACCCAGCAATACATTAAGAAGATCATACATCATGATCAAATGGTATTTCTTCTGGGGATGCAAGGTTGGTACAATATGCACAAACCAATAAACGTGATACACCACATAAACAAAATGAAGGATAAAAATCACATAATCATATGAATAGATACAGAAAAAGCATTGAACAACATCCAGCAACGATTTATGATAAAAACTCTCATTAAAGAGGGAATAGAGTGAATATAACTCAACATAATAAAGGCCATATATAATAAATCTATAGCCAACATCATACTCAATGGACTGAAACTAAAAGCATTTCCCTTAAGATCTGGAACAAGACAGGGATGTCTGCTTTCACCTCTGTTATTCAACATAGTACTGGAAATCCTAGCCACAGCAGTCAGACTATAAGAAGAATTAAAAGGCATCCAAATTGGAAAAGAAAATGTAAAATTGTCATTATTTGAAAATGACATGATACTGTGTACTAGTATAGAGAACTCTAAAGATAACACCAAAAAAACTACTAGAACTGGTAAATGAATTCAGTAAAGTAACAGGATACAAAATAAATGCCTAGAAATCTGTTGCATTTTTATACACCAATAATTAACAGAGAGGGAAACTAAGAAAACAATCCCATTTACAATTGCATCAAAAAAATACCTAGGAATAAATTTAACCAAGGATGTAAAAGACCTGTGCTCAGAAAATTATAAGAAGATACAAATAAGCTGAAATGTACACCATGTTCATAGATAGGAAAAATTAACATAATTAAAATGTCCATACTACCTAATGCAATCTACAGAGTCAGTGCAATTTTTATCAAGATACCAATGGTATATTTCATAGAACTAGAACAAATATTCCAATAATTTATATGGAATCACAAAAGACCTGAATAGCAATCTTGAGAAAGAAGAACAAAGTTTGAGAAAGCATGCTATCTGATATCAAACTATAGTATAGGGCCATAGTAATCAAATTAGCATGGTACTGGCATAAGAACAGACATATAGATCATAGGAAAAGAGTAGATCCCAGAAGTAAACCCACATTTTTATGGTCAATTAATATTTGACAAAAGAAGAAAGAACATACAATGGGGTAAAGATAGTCTATTCAATAAATGGTGTTGGGAAAATTGAATAGATACATGCAAAAAAAATGAAACTAGGCCACCTTCTTACACCATACATAAGAATAAATGCAAAATGGAGTAAAGACTTAAATGTAAGACTTGAAACCATAAAAGTCCTAGAAGAAAATATAGGCAGTAAAATGTTGGACGTTTCTCATAGCAATATTTTTTCTGACATATCTCCTCACGCAAGGGAAACAAAAGATTAAGTAAACAAATGGGACTACTTCAAACTAAGAAGTTTTAGTGCAGCAAAAGGAACCCTCAACAAAATGAAAAGACAGCCTACTGAATGGGAGAACATATTCATCGATGATCCATCTGAAAAGGAACTAATTTCCAAAATTTATAAAGAACTCGGACAACTCAACACTAATACAACCACCAGTCCAATTAAACAATGGCCAAAGGATCGGAATAGACACTTCTCCAAAAAGGACATACAGATGGCCAATAGACAAAAGATGCTCAACGTCACTAATCATCAGAGAGATGCAAATTAAAACCACAATGAGATGTCACCTTCTGTCAGAAAGGCTATCACCAATAAATCAACAAACAAGTATTGTGGAAGATGTGGAGAAAAGGGAACCCTTGTTCACTGTTGGTGGGAATGCAGATTGGTGCAGCCACTATGGAAAGCAGTATGGAGTTTTCTCCAAAAAAAATTACAACTGGAACTGCCTTGTGACCCAGCAATTCCACTTCTGGGAATATATTCAAAGAAACCTGAAACACTAATTCGAAAGAATATGTGCCCCTATATTCAATGCATTGCTATTTACAATAGTCAAGATTTGGAAGCAGCCCAAGTGCCTGTCAGTGGATGAGTGGATAAAAAAAAAAAAAAGCTATGGTATATTTACACAAGGGGACACTACTTGGCCATAAAATAGGAAGGAAATCTTACCTTTTGTGACAACATGGATGGACCTGGAGAGTATTACACTAAGTGAAATAAGTGAGTCAGAGAAAGACAAATACCATATGATCTCACTTATATGTGTAATCTAATGAACAAAGTAAACTAAATAGAAACAGATTCATAGAGAACAGACTGACAGCTGTCAGAGGGAGGGGGGTTGCAGGGCTGGGTGAAAAAGGTGGACTAAGCAAAAACGAAACCCATAGACACAGAAAACAGTATGGTGATTACATAGAGAAAGGTGGGGTTCAATGATGATAGGAGACTTGACTTGGGTTGTTGAACACACAGTACAATATACAGATGATGTATTAGAGAATTGTATACCTGAAACTTATATAATTTTATTAAACAATGTTTCCCCAATAAATTTAATAAAAACTTTAAAAAATTTCTTTGGTTTTGTTTTCTTTTCCTCTAGGTATGCTATGAGACTAAAGACCCACTCAGGCCCCAATGCCACACCAGAGGATAAACAGCTGGCTGCGTTATGGTGAGTGCATCATATCGGCTTAAAACAGCCTGCCCAGCCTGTGTATGGTCATTGGTAAACCAGGTGCTGGAGCATAATGTTTTTCTAGTGCCTCTGACATGCAAAACCAAATGCAAGTCCACAGGTGGCCAGGGAGAGCCCACCCATTGCATTGCTTGCTGCTATGCCGGCCAGGAGGTGCCTACTCAGGTATTGAAAATCAACAGGTCCATTAGGCAAGGATAGCTTTTCGTGTGCGTGTGTGTGTGTGTGTGTGTGTGTGTGTGTGTGTTTTAAAACCAGGTAGGTTTGTGTTTTAATGATTTGAATGTGAATTGTGCCAAATGTAATTTCTCTTGTGTTGAACATTTTAGTTGCAATCAAAATAATTCATCTATCTCTTTACACATGGGATTAGTCTGAGTGAATGAAGATGACGCATTCAAGTCCTCAACACATTAAACTGAGGAGCGGCTCATTACACTTTGATAATAAAAGCTTTCCTTGTAAAATGTTAACCAACATTAATAGGTTTTTATTTCTATAACGATTACACTAATAATGAATATGTGATTATAATAGTAATTTCCCTGTGACATCTTCTCAGTACACCTCCTCCCACGCCCACAAATCCCAAGACACCTCTCTGTTTGTTCCTTCTGTGACAGGGATCCAAAATGTTTGCCCCAAAGGTTTACTTCCCTGATCTGCAGTGACAATTGAGCCTCAAAAATAAATAAATAGATAGATAGATAGATAGATAGATAGAAACATATACGAAAAAAGAGGGCCTCACATAGTTTAGCATCATCACATCATCTGGAGTTTGATCTGCTAAGAAGAGACCGTTATATTGTATTGGGTATGTTGGTAATCTCCCAGGTCAACACCACACCCGAGTTAGCCAGTAATTATGAGTGGAAAGCACCAAGCAAAAGAGCTGGGGAAATGCTTTCTGCACTCTTTTCAAACTTTAAATTTCATATTAGGGTTAATAAATTGATGATTAATAATTGGCATTATAGAAGGTTACTAATATGTAAATAATAAAATATATAAAGTCAAATGTTAACTATTCTCAGCATAGAGTTTTTACTATTTATAAAAACACGTATCTGTTCCTTTATTTGAACTAATTGCAATTGAGTAAAATAGTTTAAAGGTAAAGGAATAAAAGCAGGTGGATGGTTATTCTTTCAGCAACACCGCTGGTGCGGGAAGTCCAGGGTGTCAGAGGGAAATCAGAGTGAGGTCACTCTGCCCCAAAACTCCCCTTAAGCAGTGAAAGCTGTGAGCTGCAGCTTCCTCACTCCTCCGTGGAGAGACACTGTCCTCTAGTGGTGGCAGAAGAAATGGTCAGCCCCGTACCCCAACAAAACAATAAAGCTATTATTAAATGATCTGATGCAGTTGTTCTCAACCTTCTGGCCCTTTAAATACAGTTCCTCATGTTGTGACCCCCCCAACCATAAAATTATTTTTGTTTCTACTTCATAACTAATTTTGCTACTGTTATGAATTGTAATGTAAATATCTGATATGCAGGATGGTCTTAGGCTACCCCTGTGAAAGGGTCATTCGACCCCCAAAGGGGTCGCGACCCACAGGTTGAGAACCGCTGATCTGATGGCAAATGCATTTATGGAGTAACCCCTTGAAATTGTGAAGTATACCTTCTGAACAAAAGGAAGATCAGCTTACAGACATGTATGTATGTATATTGTATATATAATCAGGATATAAATATTGAGTACTTGGAACAAGAAGATTTTTTGAGCCCTAGCCGGTTTGGCTCAGTGGATAGAACGTCGGCCTGCAGACCAAAGTGTCCTGGGTTCGATTCCAGTCAAGGACACATACCTTGGTTCCAGGCTCCTCCCCTGCCCGGGCCCTGGTCAGGGCTCATGCAGGAGGCGACCAATCGATGTGTTTCTCTCACATCGATGTTTCTCTGTCTTTCCCTCTCTCTTCCACTCTCCCTAAAAATCAATGGAAAAATATCCTCGGGTGCAGATTAACAAAAAAACAAAAAAAAAAGATTTTTGAAAAGTCTTATTTGCACAGGACACACTCGTGCCTGCAGGGCTCATCTCTCTTCTTCCCTGCAGTTACCGATGCCTGGCTCTCCTGTACTGGCGGATGTTTCGACTCAAAAGAGATCACGCTGTCAAGTATTCAAAAGCACTTATCGACTATTTCAAGGTACTGTCTGGCTATCGGAGGACATGGTTCCCCGTATTTAGTTGTCTTCCTACCAGGGACGTTTTGAGGACAGGATCCATTGCTTTGAGGAGAATTCAGGAGCCTTCTGACCCATTTGTGACATGTCCGTGGTGCGCAGGGCTGAGCATGGCCTTGAGAGAACCCTGCCTGGAGCCCGGGCGTTCCGATGGCCACCAGGGAAAGGAGATTGAGTTCCCACTTCCGTGTCATAGGAAATGCATCTTGGTATTTCACATAGATTCCTCATGTGCACCTCGAGCTTCTTCCTTTTGGAAGTAACTACTTAGAACATCTTAGCTAATTCCAGTAGCTACTTTAATTATTGATGACGGTGTTATTTAAAATGGTAAGAAATGGCTTGTTGGAACTCAGAGGCACTAGCAATATGTAAACACAAAGATAAAACTTTTATCTATCTCAGCAAATGAAATCATTTTCACTGGGAAAATGAAACAAAAACACTTTTGTGATGTAGACTTGAAGTAATAATTAATTTGAGATTTGGGGCCTCTTTACTGTCTGTCTATAGGAACAAGAAATTACACCACCTCTACCTCCACCAACCCATGCACCACCGTTTAGACCCTTTATCCCCAGCCCCACTTAGAGATTATCTCTGGTGACCAGGCTGAGTTGGGGTCCCGGGCTGTATGCAGCGTGCCACCCCCTTCCTGGTCGTGCCTGAGGAGTAAGCAGGTGCTAAGCCAATAAGGGAACAGTCTTGGCTAACATTAAGCCTTTCCCTTTATTTTGGGCACCTAAGGTCAAGATAAGTCATTTTAAAAATGTTAGAATCTAAGAACTAATACTAACGAGAGTTATTACAGTCAAGAAAAATGCTTCACTGAGAAGGAATCTGAACTCTGTAGGCCACAGCGGTTACCACAGAACTTGAAGGAATACAAGAAGTTTTTAGTGTCCGTATACAGTCCTGAGTGTGTGCGCATGCAGAGAGGACACACTTAAAAGCAGAGTTTCCTGCCGAAAGTTCCCGGTAGGCACCCTTAATCAAAGGCTTTTTAAATGCTCCTTAAAGTTCCACGATTATGGACCTTCAGGTAATACTGACAAATTGTCCGTAATGACTGCTTTATCGGTACAGAGCTGTCTGAACAGAGGACTTTGTTCCCTCTTTCTGGCTCTCTATCTCTCTCCCTTCCTCTCTGTAAAAAATCAATAAAATATATTTAAAAAAAAAAAAAAAAAAGCAGTTTCCCCTCCAGGAGTTCCCGGTAGGCACCCTTAATCAAAGGCTTTTTAAATGCTCCTTAAAGTTCCACGATTATGGACCTTCAGGTAATACTGACAAATTGTCCGTAATGACTGCTTTATCGGTACAGAGCTGTCTGAACAGAGGACTTTGTTCCCTCGTGTTTTAACAGTCACGGGGCCTGGTGGTCGTGGAAGAGGCCTGAAGGCAACTGACAGTTGCCACATTCAAGGCCATTTCTACCATCTTGATAGCACCCCCACTAGAGTCTAAAACTCAGTCACCACTTCGTAAAGTACTTTTTAACCAAAAGCAATGCTTTGTGTCTAGGGAACCAGGCCAAGGCTGTTTTCTTGTCTCGGGAAGGAAAACTCACATCAGTATTGTAGAGACTTCTTAACCCTCTAACCGGCCAGGGACGGAGGGAAGCTCACACCAGCATATAGAGACCTCTTCCCTCTGACAGGCCAGGGATGGGGGGAGACTCACATCAGCATATAGAGACCTCTTCCCTCTAACAAGCCAAGGACTGAGGGAAACTCACACCAGCGCATAGAGACCTCTTCCCTCTAACCGGCCATAGACGGAGGTCCCAGAAGTCATCGTTGGCTCTCAGAGAGGGTCTGTCTGTACATTTAGGAACTTCCCTCACCAAAGGCAGAACTTCTTGTAAATGCCCGATGCAGACAACTGGCTTGGGAAACATATCCTCCCCAGTCAGGATATTCAGGAAATCAGAATTTTTGAACACCCTACCTATCAAGGAAATATATTTAAATCTGTCCTTTTAGAAATATTCAAGAGGAACTTTCTTTAAGAGAAATACTTTTAAGTCTCATAAGTTAAAATAATACAAGTTGATGTCTCGTATTTCCAGGCATTAAATGTATGCCAACGGTTCCTGTAGATTTGCCCTACATTTCAATATGAGGTGTTCTCATGGGGGACGGGAGGTCTGGTCTTCTTTCTTTTTCAGAAAAATTAAGCTAGTTTCAGGTGAAAAAATTAAACTGTCTCAGGATTCAGCAGACCCTCTGGATTATGATTTAATTTGATACATTGCATTTGGTGCATGAAATCCCAGGCCCCAGGATAAGCTCTTGGCTTTAGCCGATTGTGGAACCCAGCAGGCCAGGCAGCTGTCCCCACTGGGTTTCAGAGAGGGAGCCAGTAGCCTAGGATTTGCGACTTCCCAGATTCATTTCTGGGAATCTGCATTTTCTCTGCAATGTCAGCCATTACTGACCTCAGCCATCACCTGAGAGCATGTTATTGTCAGCTCTGTAAGCCTACGCAGGTGGCTCACTGTCCATGTTCCTATTTTCCTGCAGAATTCATCTAAAGCTGCCCAAGCCCCATCTCCATGGGGAGCCGGTGGAAAGTAAGTTCATTTTTCCTTTTTTTCTTTTTTTTTCTTTTTTTCTCATTCAGCATTATATTTTTTTTCTCATACAGCATTTTATTTTTTTTAATTTCTTTATTGATTAAGTTATTACATATGTGAGTAAGTTCATTTTTCCAAAGTAAAGGCGATAAACGAGGCACTGCCTGGTGTTGGGCAGTGTGCTGCTTCCCTTACGGTGCCCTGGGGCTGGCCCGCCTCACCGGGAACCAGCCTCTCCACCTTGCTTTTCTTGCTCTTCCCTTCCAGGAGCACTGGAACCCCATCCCCCATGTCCCCCAACCCCTCCCCCACCAGCTCCGTGGGATCTCAGGGGAGCCTCTCCAATACCAGCGCCCTGTCCCCTTCGACCATCGTCAGCATCCCACAGCGCATCCACCAGATGGCAGCCAATCACGTCAGCATCACCAACAGCATTCTCCACAGCTACGACTACTGGGAGATGGCAGACAACCTGGCCAAGGAGAACCGAGGTGTGTGCCTTTGGGGTGTGTGTGCGTGGCCTGACCACAGCTCAGGGAGACAACCTGACCTTGGGCGTCACCACACAAGTTGTCATCATTTACCGAAGAAGAAATCCTAGAAGCTGTCAGCTACTGCGTGAAACTTCCCGACCTCTCCCCTCACTCGGGCCTTAACCCACCTTTATCTTCACTGTGGAAGATTCCACATCCTATATAATAAAAGGCTAATATGCAAATTGTCCCCTCGACCTGGAGTTTGACAGGGGGGGAAGGGGGCAGCCAGCCAACCACCCGAAGCCCCTCCCCCCGGCTGGCCCTGCCCCTGATCAGGGTCAGCCCTGATCAGGGACAGGCCAGCCGGACCCCACCTGTGCACAAATTCATGCACCGGGCCTCTAGTAGAGATGATAAAGACACAAGTAATGTGCAAAGATACAGATCTGTAGATACAGATATAGATGTGCGCACACATGTTCTTTTCCCTGCTGACAGTGAGCTCCTTGAAGATAGACTCTGTTTCATCCGACTTTGTATTCCTAAGACCTGCACTGAGCCCAGAACACGGTTGAGGTCTGAAACATTGAATGAATGAATTAATGAGTGTGAATGTTACTGGCTTTTTAAGTGATAGCTGCTTACAACTGAAAAAAAAGTGTTTACATGAAGCAATAAGTTCCATTTCTTTTTAAATTTTTTTTTTACTGATTATAAACAGAGTGCATGTTTATTGTGGCTAAATTTATAAAGTACAGAAAACTGTTGTAGAGGAAAAAAAGATTTTTATATCATCAGTAATCGTACCACCAAGAAATAATTACTATTAGCATTCTACTGAAGTCTCTTCTAGTCTCCTCCAAATATGTGTGATTTTTACCAAAATAAGGTCATAGTATATCTACAGTGTTATGTCCTGTTTTGTTTTGTTGTTGTTTAATAGTATATCAGGAATTTTCTCATGTTACTAACTAGTTCAAAAACACCCTTTATGTTGGTTCTATAATATTGTCAGAACAGTGGTTATACCATCATAAAGTATGATTTCTTAGGCCATCCCCTGTTGTTGGACATTTAGGTTATTTCCAATTTTTTCCACTATTACAAATAAGGTTATGATAAATAGTTTTGCATAAGTCCTTTTCCATATTTTTTATTATTTTCATAGGAAGGAGTTACAGAAGTAGAATTTTGGGGTCAACAGGTATACATTCTTTTAAGATCTATATTGTTATACCAGAGGCCTGGTGCACGAATTCGTGCATGGGTGGAGTCAGGCCACCCACCCCGATGGGGGCTGATCAGGGCTGGGCCGGCAGGAGGGAGGGGCCCAGGGAGGAATGGGGGGCCGATCAGGGCCCTGATCGGGCTGGTGGGCTGCCACAGTATGCTTCATAGTGACCGGTCGTTCCAGTCACTTGGCTTTTATATATATAGATATCTTGGTATATATATTGTTAATTTTTCTCCCAAATGATTATACCAACTTACTACTCGGGTGAAAGGGCAAATCCGCTCCCAAATGATTATACCAACTTACTACTCGGGTGAAAGTGCAAATCCGAGGTCACTTTCCAGTCATTGAATGCACATTTGGTGCCATGACAGTGTAAAGCCTCTGAGGACAAGACCAGGCTGTCCACAATGTGACGAGGAAGTTACAGCATGGATAGGCAGTGGGCCCTGAGCTCATGAAACTGATGAGAAAGCCAGGTAACATGTGACGTGCAGCCCAGAGGTGCTGACCCTGAAAATCCACTGGGAAGCCGGCATGGAACAGGATTTTGAAAAGCAAATAGTAGTTGAGTAGCCGAGATGGAGTGGGGAGGGTGTCCCAAGTAGACAAAACAGAAGGACAAATGTATAAAAATGTGTGTGGCCAGTTTGGGACACCCTGAGCAGGCCAGCTCTTGCACTGGCAGCGGCCTACTCGACGGCTCCTCCGTGAGGGCCCAGGGGCACGTGTCTAACGGGAAGTCAGTATTGTTTTTCTGACCAGCTCCCCTCCCGGTTCTGCTCCGGTCCCTGCGTGGCTACCTTCCCAGCCACCTGGACCCGGCGTCTCCCTCACCCCTCCCTGGCCTCCCAGCAGGCCCTCGTTCAGCATGTATGCATGTGAGCACCTCTGAAAACGTCTCCCAGGCACTTCTTTTGAAGGAGTGTTGCTCCGTGATCCAGTTACGACGATGGCATAGCAGCCCTGTGAATGTACTTGTCTCTCCCAGCCCCTCAGCTGTGATCTCTTGGTACACTCCCTATCTACCCTGCTGCACCTAGCACAGGGCCTTGGCACATAGTACATGTTTAACGAAAGGACCAGCCCAGAGAAAGTCCAAGGACTGGGAGCTGTTTCAGAACTGCCTCTGATTTGCTGCCTGGAGCCTGGAGCCTCCTCCATGGGACTCGTGTCAGTGCAGCACACGCCACAGCTGGGTCGAGGGCGAGGGCGACAGAGACACAGCCCACGTCCAGAGTGGGAAGTATTGCTGCTCCAGGAGAATGTCCTGAGGAAGTCAGGTTTTCTGCTGTTTGGCTAAGTCAAGGAGGGGTGGGGGACATCCGGCCCGCGGGCCCTATAAGGCCGGCAAAATCATTTGGTCTGGCCCTGCCAAGGCATTAGGGGTGAGTTTATTAAACGCAGCAGGCTGATTTTTAAGTTGATAACTTTGTGTGGCCAGAGAATGATGGTATCAGTATCCAAACGAGGTTCCCCACCCCTGGGCTAAGTAAATGTTACTCATTTGAATTAAAAATTGCCCATGGAGTGACTATGTGGATAAAAGTCTGAGTTCTGTACCTTTGTGTTTCCTTCTGTTCGGTGGGATGCTGAAGCCGCATGATGGAACAGAGAAAGCCTGCCTATCTAGGGCCACGAGCGCAGTTTCTTCTTAAGTCACTTGGGTCCCAGGGTAGCATGCGTAGCGTGTGTGGCACTCTAACCACTCTGTCTGTCCCCTAGAGTTCTTCAACGACCTGGATCTGCTCATGGGGCCGGTCACCCTGCACAGCAGCATGGAGCACCTGGTCCAGTACTCCCAGCAGGGCCTGCACTGGCTGCGGAACAGCGCCCACCTGCCGTAGGGACCGCGCCCTGCGGCCGCACTGTGCTCCCACCTCCGCGGACGGCTCAATGTTTCTGGACACTGTGCTACTGACATTCCCAGCCACAGCATTTATCAAAATCCAGTGAATATTTTCTCAGCCTCGAACAATGGTCTTTTCCCAGGGCATGTGTGCCTGTATGTGTGGGTGTACAAGCAGCAGCCTGTGTGTGTAAGATGCACAGCTCTTAAAACCTATTTTCTTTGTCTAGTTTCCATAATCCCAGGCTAGACAAAGTGATCAGAGGTTTCTGATTAGAGGAAATACACTTACACACATACACACACACATACACACACACACACACACACACACACTTTCTACTTCAAAGCTAAACCATGACTTTTTAGAACATTCAACCAAAATCTCGCTGTGAGTTCACAGGTGCAGCACACGCAGCACACCAACAGCCTGACTGCCAGTGAAGACGACCTAGTCCTTACGTTGTTGATGACTTTCAGTGTTGATAGACTATCCCCACTTACCCTCTGGTTGTCCGTGTTCATGGGTAATTGAATAATGAAAGTCAGTCACGTTTTGCTGGATGTTTACTAGGTTGCATGTTACCAAATGCCCTGCCTTTCATTTACTACTCGCCCCCTCCATCCAACTTTATCATCAGCTAAATGCGTGGTGAGCAAATGGATCCACTGCCCTGCCCCCAACGTGGTCTGAACGTGGCGCAGATGTTCGGTGAGAACTCGGTGCTTTTGGAAGCGAGCCAGCCAGCGCTCAGGCAGCCATGGCTGCGTTTGGGAGCCTAGTCAGGAACTGGAACCTCCTGCACCTGCAACAAGCCCGCCCTGCACAGGTGTTTCTTCTTCCTGCCTCTGTGGCACGTGGCTGGGGAGCCTTGCGGCACTTCTCAGTCTTTTAAATGTGGCGATTTTTTAAGCCTTTTCTTTCCACGATAGCTTTCTTACAAACGTCTTGGCCAAATCAGGACGCTACCCCGATTGCCCCTTCACTGGGAGCCTGTGTGTGTTGCTTATCGGGCTGAGAGCCTCGTGCTCCTGACGGTGTCTGATGCTCTCACGCCTCCTGCAGAATGTGCCACGTTAATGCATTTTGAACGGGGGCACGTGTGGGGCTCTGGTTAGCTGGCTGCTCACCGCGCAGGGTGCGTCTTCCTGCCTCCGTCGCGGTGCTGTTTGGGGTAGCGACCCCAGAACGTCACGCTCGTGTCCTCTGTGTCTGGTATGTTTACGTCTCGCCCTTAACTCTTTTCTTTTTTTATTAAGTTTACATTTTAATTTTTTGACACCTGTTTACAGTTTTTGTCTGAAACTTGTTTATTTTATAGTCCCCTGTCATGTCCTAGATTTAGACTTCTTATTAAATATATTTGGATATAAAATTATTGCTTAAAAAGAAAACCTTCTGGGAAAAAAAGGATGTACTTTGCCGTATTTTAAAAACAAAAACAATGTCCCTGAGGTCTCTCACTTGACCATATTGCACCAGGCTGGTCTGAGAAAGACGGCGGTGCGGTTTACGGAGCCCCCCCCCCCTTTCTCCAGGGGGCGGTGGCGCCCAGCATTTATAACAGATACTCGTGTGCTCTCGCCAACGGTCAGTTGGTCCAGTTTCGATGTTGACATTGTCAGCCTGATGGATAGTGGAAGTAAGATTGCTGTAATTCCCTAGCTCTCAGCACTCTTTCAAAACTGTACAAATGATTGATCTGTGCGCATGGTGACCCGAAATTAACTTAGGAAGAGCAAGCGAAGGGCTTATGAAATTGGCATTTGGCTTGGGCCTTCGAGCATCTGCACTGCTCACAGAGTTTGTTTTACTTTTATCCAGCCGAGGGGTTTGTCACACCCTCTCGCTAGTCCTTGTGGGTGGAGTTCATGATCCCATTCGTGTTGGGAATTTCAGTCTAACTTAAGAAATTGTGAACTGGTGTGTGGGGTGTTTTTGTTTGTCTGTTTGCTTGTTTGGAGGACTGAGGCTTAGTTCTGCTTGCTCTTGCTGAATTCCGCTGAAATGTTCAAACTCTCACATAAGGGGTGACCCTCAGGTGCGTCCCCAGGTGCTCTGCTGGCCTCGTCCATCTTAAGCTGCAGGCCTGTGCGGTATCCACGTGGTGTGCTACCGTGAAGCCCCATCTACTCACACAGGTGGCCTCTGGCATTTTACCAGTGTTTTGAAGACCATGTTTCCCAACAAAACCTGTCGTGGTGGGGGTGGCCTTTCGTTTCATCGTGGAGCACGATGGGGCAGTGTGTGTTAGCTTGGAAGAGATGATTATGGTAAGGAGCCAACTTCTTATTGTTGCGTGTGAAAGTCATTCATAACTGTTCCTTTTATTTAGTTTTGTTCAAAGTAGAAATATATTTCTTGCATTTTCTGATTATAAGAGCAATACATGCTTCAATGTAAAAATTCAGACAACACGGAAACGTAGAAAGTAGAAGTAGTAAGTCCCACCCCAATCTCCTCCCACCCCCAAGCAACCACTGTTCACAGCTTCATGTCTGTCCTTCTAGTGACTCTCCTGTTTCAACATGTACTGTCCATTATTAAGTCTTTCTGTTTGGAGACATATTTCCTTAGCCGTTCAGCACAAGTCAACTGACCTATCCTTCCGTGACCTGAACGGATGCCACCCTTTATCGCAATGTAATCAAATGCATTCCTGATCAACATGTGGGATTTGTGACTGCTCTACACAGATCAGATTTATGTGCAGAGTTGTGCCTGGAAAGAGAGGTTTGGTTAAAACAGATATTTCTGGAAACTTTCTAATTACAAATGGAAACTCGGACCCACGATCTAATGAGGAATGTACTGGAAAAATAATCTGAAGAGCTGACAAATTGTGTACTAGATTGAACGCATAGAACGCAATGCAATGAGACTCCCTGCACTAAAACTTACCCCAGTGTGTGCAACACTGATGCGTGTATTATATAACAGTGATGTGTACATTTCTGAAATCCCATGCATACGATACAGTTTGTATAAATGCATACATTTAAAAATATATATGTACAATACAGCTACCATGAGACTGTAGTACGCCTGAAGGGTATGACTAGTGCCTAACATTGAGTGTAAGTCACTGCGTGTTCGCATCACCTTGGAAGTACGGTAATTGTTATAAAATTAATCAGTGCAACCAACATTATTTATGAATCACATCTTTGAAACTGTGCAGTAGTATATACATATATATTTTTAAACAACATTTTTCACAGTTTTCCAGAGTTACTGTTGAAATCTGTATCACCAAAAAAAAAAAAAAAAGCAAGATTTTTTTAATGATGTAGACACTCTTCAGACCCAGTAACCTGTGTGTGATTTCCTGTTTGTAGATACCCAAGAGACTTTAGCAGTCACCAGCCTTAATGCATGTACAGGATATTATTGTGACTTAATTTATCTGCAGTTTTTAATCCATGTGAAATTGGAATTTATAAACTGACTTGGATTAAATATGTCTGCCTTTCTAAGGTTGCAAATGTTACATTAAATGATTTATGTTGTAAATGAGAGAAATTGAGTTGTACGTAAAAAACATCCACCAGTTTCTGTGATTATTTTTACAAGAAAACTTTAGACTCAGAATATGTTCAAGTAAGTTTTCTGGTCCCCAGATCATAATCTCTTTATAAGTGACCTTGTTTTGTGAGTTTGTTTTTTGTTTTTGTTTTTGTTTTCAGAGAGGAAGGGAGAGAGAAACATCAGTGAGGAGAGAGAATCATTGATTGGCTGCCTCCTGCACACCCCCTACTGGGCATGGAGCCCACAACCCGGCCATGTACCCCTGACTGGAATCGAACCTGGGACCCTTTAGTCTGCAGGCCAACGCTCTATGTACTGAGCCAAACCGGCTAGGGCTCGTGAAGTTTTTTTAACAGCTCCCACAGGTTATCAATACTCAGTCTAATATTTTTCATGAGGAAAAAAGGTATGTTTTTCTTCATTATACCTGCACGTTGCTACTTGTCTTTCCCAGCCCATACACAAGCCTGCACACACATGGGGGAGAACACACCCACGTGTTTCAGGAAACGCTGATTAGGAATTGACTTTGATGACCACATGGACACCTCCAGACAGCGCCCAAGACGCTGTCCTACTCAACATCCCTTCATGACCAAGTTCATTCCCTGCCTTGTGTTCCAGGATTTTCCAGCTCAAACCAGCATGGTGAAATAATGTCCGCAATATCTGGTTGAGTAGAATAAAAGACTTTTGAATTAGCAAAGATGAAAATATTAGACCCGTGTCCTGCCATGGTCTGTCCCCCTGTGCAGGAGGCTTTGTTGTTCACCTCGTTTTTACTCTTCTCTCCCTCCTTTTTCAACCCCCTCTCCCCCAAACTAAACTAAACAAAGAGGCAGAAGCAGTAACAAACACACCTGGATGACTTCGCCTCACCCAGCCCACATCCTTAGATTCCTGTACGCCTTGTCCTGAAGCAGAGCCCTCGCTCGGTCACCATGGAGACCGCCTCACTCCCACGCCAGCCAGGATGGGCACTGGGCTATACTTGCTCCAGGACCACCAACTTGCTACTCCCTCACACCCCACAGTCTTTCTAGAACTATCTTTCTCTTAGGCGGTTTTGCCCGCTGCTCACCTAAAGCCTGTCCCTATGAGAATCCTATTTTTTTTAAAGTAGCACCTTTTTATGAAACCTGAATCAACTGAAGTCTTGACTCTTTTCTCTATGCAGTGGTTCTCAACCTTCTGGCCCTTTAAATACAGTTCCTCATGTTGGGACCCAACCATAAAATTATTTTCGTTGCTACTTCATAACTGTAATGTTGCTACTGTTATGAATCGTCATGTAAATATCTGATATGCAGGATGGTCTTAGGCGACCCCTGTGAAAGGGTCGTTCGACCGCCAAAGGGGTCGCGACCCACAGGTTGAGAACCGCTGCTCTAATGAAAGGAAAAAAGAAAAAACAACTACATGACCTGCATTTCCAACTATTTGGAACCAAAGTTTTTTCTCGTTCTCAGTCTTTCAATATTACAACTTCCTGCCAAGCAGCACAAGGAATGTTCAGGTGTGAGATTTGTGTTTTTTCTGTCCAAACCGAATTACCCTGCATTTGTCACCAGAGGGGCCCATTTGTTTCTTGGCATGAGGAAAACCATAAACCTGTTCTCCAACTAATTACACCGGACCACGGTTTTGGTTTGCATTATTTAATTGGCACTCTGAGGCAGCAGGGGTAAATGTTGGGTCGGTTGCAAGGGGTTTAAATCCACAGCTCTTACAGTAATGGGAGCCAGGGGAGTAAATCCCCATGCGTTTCTTTGAAAATCCTCTTACAGCCTGTTTTAAACACACTGATCTCAGGGATGAATTCAAGGTACTAATTACAAGTCAACACAAGAATTAGCATTTGTCTTTAAGCATCAAGAAGCAACGATGAGCCCGACTGGAGATATATATATATATATATATATATATATATATATATATATATATATATATATATATATATATAAAGAAGCAACAATGAGGCCCAAAAGCTGAATCAAGGATTCTCATAAGCTAACCTGGGAAAAGCTCATCAGAGAATATATCTAGCCTATCATGATGTAAGATAAAATAAAATTAGTGTTTAGGGTTTTCACACAGTGCTGTTTGGTTACAAAAATAATTACAATATTTTAGTTTCCATATTGTTTTCCACCCTTGTTTAGTTTTCATTAGACAAAACTGATTTTCCCCCAAGAATGTATCATCTCTATTTCTGATTCCCAAATGAGCAAAGAGGAAGGACCCAGCCCGAGGAGCGTGCGTCGCCTGACTAACAGCGTCCTGCCGCAGCAGCCGAAGCTAGGTGGCTTTGTAGAAA